TTCAATCCCTCCGCCGTGGCGCGTGGCGTCGTCAAGAACCTACGATAACAGCTCTCGAGTCAGACGTGCAGATTTCAACTTTCCTCCCTTTCGTGGGGGTGGTCCGTAAACAAGGTTTTGATGCCCCTGTTTGGGATATCGTACTCGACAAAGCGAGGGTGGTGATTCTTACCCTACCGAAAAATGAGTCTGAGCAAATCCCGCTTCTTCCGAGTTAATGAACTAATAATCTCCCTCTGTGTATTAGATCGTCGTAACACACACGCAGGGCACCTTTTAAAATATGTAGTTTATACCTCATAGTACGCAAATGTTTATATCTTAGAGTGTATCATTAAACCTTACTTTCTATTACGCACGCTATACTACTCAACTTGTTAGCTGGCTGATAAAATATTGAAACCTAATGTATGAAGCAGAAACTCGAGACTGTTGCCATCTATGTCGTGCATGCTGCTTACATGTCTGAAGTGCATCACAATCCAAGCTGCCATCTGTCGTGACGCAGTTCAGGCAGCAATTCGCTGATTGCACTGGGAATCATTCGATGACAAGACTGCTTAGTTCTGAATGCGAAACTCACATCACCGTGGACTGGTATGGTCAAGTTAGCACAGTGCACGATGCTGACTTGCACGTCATGGCACTTTGTATCACATGTCAAGTACTACACAATAACAGCACCAATGTGAAGTGCCCACCCAATGTTACTCCGGTACTCCGCTATGAGCTTTCGTGTGCGACCTGGAGTGGAAGGCTGGATTGTTTATAAAACTGATCTCCGCCAGGGAACGACTCACTGGAAATGGTGTGAGAGATAAAGGGAATCAGAAGGTCCCATAAATATGACGAAGTGCACGTCACAGCGCTTGCTGGCATATTCGAACCATGCAGGGTAAAACCCAGATCTGTGCCAGCCCAACACATACAACGTGCTATCGCGTGCTAACAAAATGTTCTGGGGACACAAGTCTTGGTGTGTAAAGACTGGTGGCCACGAGCTGTCGAACCGCGGAGCGTCGAGAGGCGCTTTCTTCATCCGCTGAGATACGTCAAACTTGTGTTTAAACCATGCTATCATATCGTCATAAGAAGCGAATGTGCCTGCGCCGTATTCGGTGAAGAATCGTCCCGTGAATAGGACGCCATTGAGAGTCCTATAACTTTCGCACTACCTCTGTTTGGGCCAAAGCGGCACTTGGCCGTGTAATGTGAAGGACGGAGAGGTGGGTTGAAATGTGGGAATAAAACTACAGGCTTCGCTATCGGTGCAGTCAGGTCAATTGGTGTGAAACGGGTCACGTTGGGTTCTGATAAAAGGCAGGAGGAGGTTCGAACTTGACCACAGTTTCAGCTGCGACGTTCTGATTCCTGAAAGTACGTCACTTAGTAAGTCCAAGAACTGAATTCCCACACCCCGCGAAAATGGCTCAGTAATACAGTTGTGACTAGTACTTTTCCGGCTCCCACCACCATGATCTCCTTCGATCCTTTGTATTTCGAAACTAGAGTCGGTTTACCGAGTCTACGTACAGGTCCTGTCAACGGCAAGATAGACGATCTCTACCACTCTGGAGCAAATGATTCAACTTTGGTTTTTCTTGCCAACAAACCACTTCGTCCACGACGCCTCCTGAAGCGCCATCAATCAAGTCAATCCCGCAAACGCACTTGACGTCCTCATATCGCAACCGCGCCTTGATATCATCATACGTCGGGTTGGATGCTGGACGCGATTCTGGCTCTGGTAAGAACGATACTATTATTCTGTACCTAGACAAAGGCTAGTGCACAAGTCAATACAAGACGGCGTGATACGACGGACACAGTACACACTTCAGTAGAGTTGTAAGAACAATACTGAGGTGGTCAAGAGGCGAAGCGCGGTACAAATATCAGCAGAGTCGATTAGGTAACGAGTCCGGAGGATTAACGTGCGGAGAAGCCTGAGAGAAGACGAGAGTCATATGGTATACGAAGGTGTACGAGATAACAAGATAGGTAAGGAACTCAACATATCGATGTTAACATGCTTTACTTGTGTCCACTCCAAGGCCTGATGTACCATAGACTGGTAGACCTCTGTTGAAGAAATGGTGGAGTTGTGAGTAATAGCAAACCATTGCATCCCCATGAATACACCAACAATCCGTGCGCCGTGTGAACTTTCTATCGTTTCGTCCAGTCCTCCGTGGCTCTGCTACCTTTTTCGTCTTGCCTGAGCGGAACGACAATGGCCAAGCCATCGCAAAATATTGTGATTTGAACAGTTGCAATTCTGGCCTGAGATTTCCTTATTTTCGCAACAATGTTACGCTTCATCGACTCGCATACTTGACGTCAGATCACCTCCCAAAGCACTTAGAACAACAAGGCCCACATCCCAGAACCTTCACAGCGTGGATATGGTTCCGTACGCTTTACGCCGACAGATCAAGACGCAACCACTGCAAGTGATTGGTTCGGCCGCATGTTTGTCGACTCGATGTGAATCAATGTTATGATTGACAAAGTAAGTTTTTCGGGTGTCAGTGCTTGTGTGATCCTGCTCGAGACGAAGATTAATGTCATTGCAGAGCCAGGACCTTCGTCGCCACTACATATTCACAAGCAGACGAGGATAGTCAGATAAGCGCACAAACACAGCCCTTCCCCTGCATGTCATGCAACACCGCATGAAAGAAGGTCCATCATGGGCAAAAGAAATCTCATACGGTTCAACCTGCTGACCCTCCAGAGACAAGTTCGATATCTGACTGACCATACGATAATGAGGCTGTCTCGGACCTCGGATGGATGCAATGTCGAGGTAAAGTGCCACTCAAGCGTTCATAAGAAGGCCTACTGATGACCTTATGATCGCAGGCTTTAGCCAGCATCGATGCAGCAGAGGGCTTACTATCTCAAGCCATCAAGGGGAAGGGCATCAGAATTACATTTCGCAGTTCGCAGATCTTCGAGGCCAGGTTCGGCCCTCTGAAGAAACATTCGGCCCACCCTTACGTACACTTATCCCCTCAAAATGTGACGGAGCTTGTGCTTGGGCAGAAGCTGCAGAGCCTTGGGGTTCAAGTGCAGCGCCCACACAGGGTTGTTGGCAGGAAACATAACGAAGAGGATTGTCCTGTCACCGACGTCTCGTTCAAGGATGGCCAAATAGTCAGAGCCAGGTATATCATCGGTGCAGATGGCGCCCGCTCAACCGTGAGGCCTCAGCTCCTGCTAGCTTAGGTTTGTGGAATGTCTGACGACCATCTCCAGATCCGTACCATCACCGGCATAGGGTTCTCTGACCCAGAAGGCCCCAACTTAGGCAATCACCTACTGACTCAAATGGTCAGTGCAGATGTTACGTTCGAGCGCGAACCTGTCAGTCCATTAACCATCGAGGGCCACATCAATATCATAATTTCCTCAGACGGTTTCCTGACGCTCACACCGTTCAGCAACCGCTGTAATTCCGAGCTGACGCGCGATGGAAAGCCCGTTACAAAATCCATCTTCCGTATAATTTCTCCCGTACCGGTGAAGAACGGAGAGCCGCCCTACGCACCACCGAAGGAGTACATCCAGAAATTGATCGACATGTACGCCCCAGCGTGTAACATCGGATTCGTCCCTAAACCCGACACCCGTCAAGGTCGACCAGCTGATGTGGTCGACACGTTTCAGAACCCATTCAGCTATCGCTGACCGCACGCTCACGCGCCCCGGCGCCGCCACTTTCCTAGTCGGTGACGCCGCTCACATACATTCGCCTGCAGGGGACCAGGGCATGAACCGGGTCATCAGGGACGCGATCTTCTTTACAGAAGCCATCATAAAGCACATTCAAGCGTTTGCAGGAGATTCCGATGTGGATGATACCATTTTGCAGGAATGTGCGCAAGTGCGTCACGGGCGAGCGCTGGAAATCATGGGCTTCACCAAGAAGCTTTTGAAACTCGCAAGCCTTACACATGATGTGTATGCATTGTGGATGCCGTTCAGTCCGGCCTCTATCCGCGATCTGATGTTGGGCAGATTTGATTTTGTGCGGTCGAGTGTTGCATGGAGCCTGAGTGGGCTTGGAAGACGATAATTGCGTATTTTTAGGTGGTTTGGTTGACCGCGCTTCATTTCTACTCTGCATACTATACATATGATATTACCATCTCTATATTTCTAGACATAATAGCTTGCTCTTATCGATGCAACAATCATCTGACTATGCAGTTGATTATGTCGAGAGATGCAACGAATCGAGTTCGAAGGGGAAATGTAGAGATCGCGAAAGATAGTTTAGAACAGATCTATGAATAATACTGACGAATCACGATAATCGGGAGACGTTCGGGCCTGATGCTGAGGGTGAATACTGGGTAGATTCAGATGATCGTTCGAGAGGACACATGCCATCTTAAATACAAGAATGAGCGACAAAGGGAACAAATAGTGGCAACTTGGCAAGGGCGATAAGAAAACAGATGCGCAGCCTGTGCTAAGACAATGCGTATTGTGCATTGTGTCAAGAGCAGCGTCAATTAGTACATGAGGTGGCGTAGTGAAAATGTGAATTGGTGAAGTAGGAGAGTCTAGAAAAGGTTGAAGAAAGAGAATGACGGAAGGAATGTCCTACCGGATGCGAAGGAGAACATTTTCACCTGGCAGACTTGTTGTGCGAGTTGCGATGACCGCCGAAACGTGGAGCAAATCGATTTGTCGCGCTCGGCCGCTGGTCTCTTCGATAGAGCAGCTGTCTGAGCTCCCTGGTCTTTTTGCAAGTTCTTCAGTCTCTCGTGTCAGGCTATGAAAAAATGGCGTACTTGACATGTCTATTAGTACTCCTCTTCTTTCACAGAGCCCCGGAACAGTGGGTCATCACGCCCGATAGACTTCATCTCTGATAGGCACATGAGGCGGCTCGACATGTCATTCCATCGCATATCCGTCCAATATATCAATGTCACGTTCCCCGTCGGTCAATTATTTCCTGTAGTGTTTTCAACGTTGATACGAAACATTATTCAAAATCATCTGAATAAACGGTGCCTTGGATTATCAAGTCTGTCGATCTTTCCGTATGATCCAATCTGCTCGGCCTCACGACTTCTCAAGCTCGGTGCATGCCTAGTGCGCATTGAACACGTTGAGAAGGTTCTTGCTCGGTTGTATGTGAGCTCTGGTGAAATATCATGGAGGTATGATCTCTATCAGCATGAACAGACAGGTAGAAGTCTGCAAGCCACAGTTATGCAATATGCACACACTTTGCTTGAACTGCCCGTGAACGAAGCGCAGTGGTTACCACGTCAGCTTTCGTCAATGACGGATAGTAATGATGGTGTACCTGCACATTTGGGCCTCGGCCAGGAGTGAAGCAAGTAGGGCAAGAGACCAATTATGATCTGCTGCGCCCTGCTAACCAGTCACAGATACAAATTCACCTAGACTGGTACGCTACGTTTATAAGTACCCACTTTTGCACTTGAATATTAGACCACAGCTCACCGAAACAGATATAGTCGCCCGCCCAAACGACTGCGGGGAGTCCTCGAGTGCGTGCTCCATGTTCTCTATGGCTGCTTGCTACTGGATGGAACATAAAATAAGTGAGGTAGGAATCCGTAAGCGCGGCTTTGGCACGTCGACACGCTGTAAGTTTGACCTGCACATATTTTAGGCTGGCTACTTACTGGGATATCGAGATAAGCAACGTATATGGACCGCAAGGTCTACCCGTCCCTTTTCGTCGTCTTTCTTACAATCATCACTCAGACTTGTGTACATTCATGTCGGCAGCACGATGTTTCCGCACGCCCGCTGGAGTGGGGCACTATATGAGGATCAAGTAGTCGGACATGGCAAGCATGTCGAGTGCGACAGGCCCGGCAAGCCCAAAATCGGCCGTCCTATAGAGGATTGTGAGATGTGAGTGCTTATGCGAGAATGCCTTGGAGAGAAACCTGCGAGCATTGATGATTATAAGCGATTGTCTTGGCTCAAGCATGGTCAGTCATAGCAGTCGCAGTACAAATTGGCGGATCAAGCTTCGTAGTAAACGGCGATATCAATTAGGAAGACTGCATGCGACTATTTTCAGAACTTGTTTAGCTGTAGTTTACGAGTTAGCGCATAGTAGCTTGATTGCAGGGGCGGTCATAACCATTCGAAGTCGGAATAATGATGCCAGGTGCTCTAGCAAAGTTGTCGTTGTGACAAATTCGCTACACGTCGGACAGTCATCCGGGATGTGGGAAGGTACGATGGCAGAAGAGCTATAGCGATAAAGGTTTAAGTAGCTCATACTACTCAGTGTCATATTTATCCTGCAGTCTTAGATAGACTCGAAGCGAGAGCAGGTGAATTGGTGATGATCTAAGCTGTGGCGCAGATTTGGAAAGAAGGAAATCTGCGCACATGAAGAAGGCACTGCCGCTCTGCGCGGAGAAGCGAGGAAGGGGAAGAGTCTTCTTCAGTAGCGCATAGACCCTCAGATAAGGATGCCGCTTGACAGGTTCCTGAAGTCCAGTAGGCAGTCTAAAGTTGGCGCTGTTTTCTTTATGCTATGGTGAGACATGGCCTGAGCTCATGCTGCAGAGCACATACCTGATTCGCGCGAGGAAAAGATGTTCAAGAATACAACTAGTACTAGTGCGTTTCCTGTTCGATGATTGAGTCATTGAGGTATCGATACTGGCAAATGGTTGTCAACCGGGGGATGTTTGCAGAGATACGGGAACTGTGGGCTGAGATGATTTGCGAGACACATGCTAGAGAAAACAATGCGGTGGAGTCGGATGGACGTCTCCGAGTCTCAGAGATATTTCTTGCCGGCGATGGAGATAAGGGTGGGTAAAAAATGATAGAAATGCGGGCTCGCTTGATAACAGGTGTGATGCTGAGATGTCGATGTTGATGAAGAAACTGGTTGTCAGACAACGTGACTCGGGCGCTTGATCTGCACAGCAAGCTCCATGAGGATAAAGCAAGGAAGACGCACATGTACAGGACTTGAACAGCAACCTCCATCTAGCTCTGGCGAGCATCAAGCGATAAGTCCATTCCTTTTCAGCTTTCATTCGTCCTGGACGGGTGTGTTCTGTGTAAAACCAAGTACCTCCGAGTGAGTGATGGCGTTCGTTTGGTGGGCAAGAGCTGAAATTGTCCCGCTCCTATTAGGTAAAGTCCCCAAGCCAAAATGATGTCTTCACGAGTCCCTGCAAAGCAAGAGAGATCAGCGACAAAACCTCTCCAAAAGATGCAAGGACACACCAGTAGCGTCTCTGGCGTCCTACGGCTGCCCGATAACCGGCGGATCATCACCTGTTCATGGGATGGCACACTTCGAGTCTGGGACTTGGAGAGCGGTATGCAGGTCGGGAAGGCCTGGATGGACGAAGGAAGTGGAAATGTGTGGGCCATAGCACTTTCGCCGGACGGCAAGACAGTAGCAAGTGGGAGTAATGATGGTGCAGTGATATTGTGGGAAATTGACACAGGCAAGGTCATCAAAAGATTGACGGGGCACACAAGGGGAGTATTTCTGTGTGCTGGAGTCCAGATGGAGGGCGAGTGGTGAGCGGGTGCAATGACGGGACATTCATAGTATGGGACGTCAAGTGCGGAAAGATAATCCTGGGACCAATCGAGGCAGCGAAAGGCAGCCATGTGTGGGCGGTTTGCTACTCACCCGATGGCACGATGATTGCGACGGCACGGAGCTGAAAGTCTGGGATGCCAACACAGGCAAATTGCTCAAAACACTCAACTTCACAACTTGGCGTCTGGCATGGATCTCGGACGGAAAGACACTTATCGCCGGGTCACGCCACTATATCGCCAGTATGCCACGCCTTCAAATCAAGAAATTCGACACCGCCACCTGGACCGAAACGGCTGTTCTGGAGGGACACAACAGTTTTGTCGATGCTATTTCACTGTCTCCGAATGAACGCATCCTCGTGAGCGCATCATATGACAACACAGCGCGACTATGGAACCTAGAAACCAATCAGCCCATCGGACAACCCTTGTACCATGAAAGCGAGGTGATGTGTGCGACCTTTTCCATAGATGGAAGGTCGCTCGTCACTGGCTGCTACGACAAGGATATATACAAATGGGATGTCACTGCTATCGTCAAGGAAGCTGGCCTCAGTCACCTTCTATCAGACAATGTGAGTTTGTGTACATCTCATCCTCAATCACACTGACAACGGGTCATCCTTTCAGGTGGTATGTTGCATCAGGTCTCTTCAACAGCCTTTCTCACTCATCTTCGTTCATCATAGAACACTGTCAAAAAGCCATTCATAAATGTATGTTACATATTTCTTGACCTTTTGCACGGCCTTGAATATCTACATACTAGGCTGATCCACGACGCCGAGCCCCGCAAATCGGAGGCGCTCGTCGACTACCCCCAGGGTTTTTCGACGATGTACGTGGTTTCCATCTGTAATCTCATGTCCCCTTTGACCATTATCTTATTAGTTCTCTACCTCCCGAGGACGAAATGCCACCACCCCACCAAATCAACGGACTCTCCTCGGTCGATTACCTTCCTTCATGGCGCCGGCGCTCCAATTCACCCGGAGCAACCGAACAGGACACTCCGTCCAGATCCCACCCTCGTAGCTGGGCTAAAAACCTCATGTCCGGCAGACAACACCAGACAAGATGGGTCAAACATCCAGTTGCGAGAGCTACCGGTAGTTGCACGTCCCATGCGCCCGCATGGCAGCGCCTGTACGCTTTTTTCCACCTCTATTCTTTTATCACTGACAGTTTTCACGCAGAGGATATATCATGCAAGAGGGAAGAAAGCAGCCAGCTCCTCTCGACCTCCCAAGATCCATGTCATGCAGCAACCTACTGGCGGAGCAACCCAGAGGACACCCCCACCATCCGTCATCACAGCAAGCCACGACATCAGCTGCAATTCCTACGGTCTCCACTACCGCGGCTGCGGCTGGAACTTCGCACCTTGATATCACCATACGCGGGGCTGGATGCTGGACGCGGTTCTGGCTCTGGATTGGCTGTATCTCTATCGAAAATAATCAACTATAGGGAAGAAGCATCTTCGTGTACCATTATCATTTTCTACCGTCTCATCTCGTTATCTATAGTTCTTCTACCCTCCATCATTGTATTGTATTTCCTACTTGTTCTGCTACGCTTGTCATTCCTTTTCTATTGCCTTATGTCAGTCCAGCTTGGTTCCACTTTGTACTGTAGAAGCTGATCGCTTAGGCTCTTCTACGATACATTAATTCTGACGAAAGCGTCCTACATCAATAGATATAGCATATATATAGGAGAATAAAGAATAAAGGAACAATGTATCAGGAGCCCAGGACCATAGGAGAATCCCCTGTTGCATAGTGCACCCTCCCTCTCCTGGTGGTTCACCCCCTGTGAAAGTTTTTCCTGTAGGGTCGGACCTTCAGAGTGGTGGGGGAGTCTATTCCTATGCATATTCAGAGTATATCTATCACCTAGCTACCATAGGAAACCTATAGGGTCATTCAACAGGAACAAAATATGTAAAATCACATTTTCGACATTTTTGATGTTTTTCAATATCTCACCCTTGCACACATGGTCCAACCTGCTCATATATCATCAGTTGTATATATATATGCTTTGTATACCAAAGATCGGTTTAAAATGGGCTGGAGTTTTGAGCTAGTGTGTATACTTGCTATTTCTACTGATAAGGGGCCCATACTTTTGAAACATCGAAATTTAATAATCAGACACCATTCCGTATCATGGACTCAAAAATACAGAAAGATCCACCCAGAATCAAGAGCTGGGGAAGTGAAATAGATAAGAAATCAAGTGTGGGAAACTTTAAATGTCCCGAAGTTCAAAACATCGAAAATGATTAGTTGGTGTATACTTTGCTATGGGCCACCAATTCAAACACTTCTACACCACATCCCCCCTATCAACACTCTGCCCTCAGGGCAGTATGTAGTATAGGTTCCTTAGGTAGTCTATCATGTATCCTACACATTTTTAATGAAATCTTCGACCTGTATCATATATAAATGTCACTTTGTGTGAACAGATGTCAATTGTCACTTTTCACATATATGTTATTTTGCTTGTAATTCACTCAATCCTTGATGGATCTTTCTAAAGCGTTAAAGCTATAATTAGTGATATATATTAGAGGCATCCCAGGTGTCCAATTAATAAACATCGATGCTTTGAAGGTATGGGCCCCTTATCAGTAGAAATAACAAGTATATACACTAACTCAAATCCCCGGCCTATTTTGAGCTGATCCTGGGCATAAATGCATTTATATACATGCCACTGATGATATATGAGCAGGGTGGACTATGTATGCAAGGGTAAGATACTGAAAAACATCAAAAATGTCAAAAGTGCGAGTTTCTATGTTTATGCTCCTGTAGAAGGACTCTGTAGATATCCTGGAGTATCTAGGTGATACATATCTTCTAAATGTGCATAAGAATAGATCCCCTGCAATCCTTGAGGTCCGGTCCTACAGCAAAAATTTTCACAGGGGGTAAACCATCAGGAGAGGGTATGTATACTGCATCACAGGGTCTTGTACTATGGTCCTGGTCTCCTGATACATTGTTCCTACTGTTGAATAGATGCTGGGGATAATTTTCTATGTATATCCATCTAGAAATAAGTACATGGGAACATATTCTTTATTCTCCTATATATATGCTATATCTATTGATGTAGGACGCTTCAGGGGATCAAAAAAGTGGAGCAATCTCTGCATATACACTCCTAAATATGTTCTAAATACTCTAGAACATTTCCATATCAAAGGGGCAAAAGTGCGAAAGTGTTCTGTACCCTAGGCTATTTTGAAAGGGCCCTGGAGGAGGAGCAGGCACACAAATAAGCGAAAAAGCGGACTATTATATTATAATATATGTATATATATCAAACTGCTACTTATATATGAGGGGGGGCTTATTGTGGTGTGGTGGTGAAGCTGCAGTGAGGTGGGGAGGATGTGGGAATAATTGATATTGTGGAGATTCCCAAAATGGGCGATGTTTTTGGTGTTGTGGGGTAATCCCCACACTGTGTGGCTGGAAAATGCGAACATGTGATGTGTGGGAATAATGTGGGGAGACCAAAATGGGATGTTTATTGTGAATTTCCTCTTTTGGAAGCCAACAAGATATTGTGGACGAATGTGCAGTTGTCAGGGGTCAAGAAGGGATGGACAGAAGGTGATCTACCAGAGATCTAACAGATCTGATTGGAAGCATACAGCAATCTTCAACAATCTTAGTCAGCACATGTCACAGGGTACACTGGGGACAAGTGCCCAGGAGAGTATTGATACAGAAGCTAAGGGCTAGTACTACAGGGAGTGTATTAATACAGGGTACCAGGGGGCAATACTGCAGGGAGAGTATTGATACAAGAAGCTACTGGCTATCACTGAAAAGTATGCATTCATGGCTTGTTACTATGGCCAGTAAGTATTGATACACCTGCCAGGGTGTGGTGACCTATGACAACAGCTCTCGAATCGGACGTGCAGATTTCAACTTACCTCCCTTTCGTGGAGGTGGTCCAAGAACAAGGTTTCAAATGCCCACATTTGAGATATTGTACTCAACCAGGAGAGGATGGTGATTCTTACCCTACTGAAAAATGAGTCTGAGTA